ATCTCAGGAACTTTTCAAATAGAGCACCCGGCTCTCAGACCGAACTCCTTATAACCATTTACACGAGAGACCAGCACACGTACCCACCATGCCGAGCAAGCACAGACTTCTTTTTCTTTTTCCTGTCAGTCCAGCGCGCCCTTTCCGTTCTCCGCCTGGCGACGGGGGCAAGGCAAACAACTGCCTTTTAACGGGCAGCAAACCTCGCGACAGCACCCTTCGGCCACTCCTCAGGCTGCGGTGGTCGCATCTGCCGTCCTGACCAGTTGGGGAGGAAAGAGAGAGAGAGAGACGAGAGAGCAGGGAGAACGACAGACGAGAGAGACAGAGAGAGACAGAGAAGGACAGAGAGACAAACAATCCGTACCAGCAACAACAGAGCAACAACCTACATTAACAGTAATAGCATCGCATGGACCGATCAAAGACAAACAGCAGCAGAAAACGAACCGGGGACCAGCCGAGCAGCCGACAACAGCAACGCAGCAAGACAAATGAAGTTTAACACAACTAATAATTAGATACTACCGATGATATATAGCAATGGCAGTCTAGAATCGGCCACGCCAGGCTCCAACCAGGTAGATCCATGAGAACCTGCAGGATGATAAAGCACAAGAACTCCGGGGAAGAAGTGAAGTTAGTAACATGAGTGAAGTTAGTAACATAGCATATAGTCCAATATATATAGTCCAACACTGTACAGATATTTTTAGTCCAGTTATCCAGGTTGAGTAAAGTGTCTCTGATGCCCCTGGTCTTTTGAACAGTGAGAACTGTAGTGTAATGTATAATGTTAAAATTTACTTTACAAAATAAATTGGTATCGCAAAAGTTATCGCTCAGGAACCGGTGTGGAGGTCAAGGTATTGTACCAGTATTAAAACTTTGTGAACGATACCCAGCCCTGAGTTGATCACAGTTCAGCTACAGTCAGCTAATAGGACAGCTAACTAGCTAATGCAGTTACCACAGGCAGCAGTGCACTGGTAGGTGACTCCCTGTGTTACAAGAGAAAGGGTCTGTGTTGCAACGATCCCCTGATATTTTCATCCATGTTACAAGGCGCAGCTCCTGAACGGAGATTGGCAGTGTTTCGGTTTTTCTGTGACTAACAACTAATGAAAAGTCTTCACATGGACCATATTCACTGCAGCAACTGTAGTTGTAGAATTTGTGCACCTGCAATGAGATGGTGTATCTGTTGTGTTTGTGGGAGAGACAAATAACCTAGTTAACCATGTTAAAGTCAGCCACTCTTAACAAATTTTTCTCTACAGACTCCACTGTGACTGGTGCTCAGCTGTTTTGCTCCAATTATACCTTCATAAATTCCATCTTATAATTGATCAAGCACAAATATGTGTATAAAATGTACATTACACTATGTGTGACACAAGAGTCCTGACTGATGTGAATATGATGCATTTTAATCCTGACAGATCTAGTAGCTAAGGGGATATCAGGGCAAGGGGGCTTCAGCTAGACCTAAAGCTTTGTTGATGTGTGCAGATCTGGAAGGCAGTGGGCTGGCGCCTGATCGCCCTGTCAGTGGGTTTGTATGGGCTCCTCTACATCTATGAGCGCCTTACCTGGACCACGAAGGCCAAGGAGAGAGCCTTCAAGAGACAGTTTGTGGACTACGCCAGTGAGAAGCTGCAGCTCATTGTCAGCTACACTGGATCCAACTGCAGCCACCAAGTCCAGCAGTGAGCATGTTAACTGAGGGTTATCATGTCAGTTCAATCAGCGTCAGACTGTTTGTTTGTTAACCTGTTTGTGTTCCTGCTGTCTGTGGTTACCAGGGAGTTGGCAGGGGTGTTTGCTCAGCTCTGCCAGCAGGTAGATGTCACTCGCCAGAACCTGGAGGACGAGATCACAGACATGAACCGCAAGATCGAGCTGCTGGACAGCCTGCAGAGCAAGGCTAAGCTGCTGCGGTAAGAACCTCGCCGTACTCACAGTACATATACAAACAGCCAGAGAGGAGCACAGTCAAACACACATAGCATAATCAAACATGTAAAAATCTGTAGCGGGAGACATTATGTTTTTATTTGACTATTTCATGTCAACACTTCCTGGTTTTGCTGCTTAATAATATAAGTAAATTTAGTTGGTGGCTTTTCTTGAAAAAACACTCATAGAGATTCCTTCAAGCGAGTAGCCCTGTTCTGATGGAAATGCTAATCCCTGCTGTGCAGTGCTTGTGCACCCAGTCAAACTGAGTGGTGCGAAGGCCAGCAAAGGTGCATGGAAAACGCTAAATGTGATAACAGTGATCCTACAGACCTATGTCAGGTCACACTGTGTGAGGTGGGTCTAATAGAATCTTGGTCTCAGTCAGACTGTGTGATAAATAGTAGTGTTACAATGGAAATAGGTACAGTATGTAAGAAGAGAAGGTGCTTATCTGCTGGCTGTCTGCTTTAGTCTGGGACAGCTGTAAACCATGTGTGTAGGCTCTCTCTTGGATCTCCATCCACACTAGAACAATTTCCAGACTTTCCCTAGTTCACATTAACACACAATGCCAGCAGTTTGTGAAAAAAACTGTGGCAGTAACTGTACGTGTATCTCTCTCTGTTGTCACTCATTCAAATGAGTACAGCCAATTACACAGCACAGCCTGTATTTACAGCTCCAACACACCTTGTTACATACATGTGGACATTATTTATGTGTATGTGTGTGTTCTGCTGTTAGGAACAAGGCGGGCTGGCTGGACAGCGAGCTCAACATGTTTACCCAGCAGTACCTTCACCACAGCAAGTAACGCAGACACTTGAGAGACTAACTCCCACCTGAGGAACATTTGGTACAACAGAGTTCTCAGCACAACAGGAGAAACCGATGTCTGGTATGAGGGGGCAGAGTTACTGGGTGGTTGTGATTTGGATATGTGGACATGAGCTCAGGGTGGAGTCCTGTGGTCAGCTTGGGACTAAAATAAAATGTACAAACAGGATTGGCCATTAAATAGAAGTCTCAACACAAAAAAAGGTTTAAGCATGGACTGGAGAACTGATGCTCATTCCTGTCTATTTAGCACTTGTTGTTCAGTTGTGGTGATGCCTGATAGAGCTGACTCCAGAACAGCAGTACAGTCTGAGCTCTCCCTGTATCCTCATCAGCACTGTTGAGTGAGCTTTTGTCAGAAACGCCACACTGTCCTTTAAATTAGGTTCAAGCTGCCACATTGAACTAGTGTAGATTTGATTTTGTATATACATTGTGAACACTGGACAAGTGCCATGCTGAAGTAAAAGGCAGTCCGCACGAGGGAATGAAGAAAGTGTCTTATGTTAGTAGGATGATGCAATGAACCGAAGACACAGTAATTTATTATTAAAGATTTATTCCTCCAGTTGTAGCTTTTCCAGAGAATAAATCTCAGTTAAACAGCAAAGCAGAAAATATAAGATTGCTTGTTTTGGTGTGTTAGTCCATATTTTTCCATGTGCAAAGCCAAACATACAATGTCTCAGTCAATCCTCACAGATATAGTTTGTTTCTATAAGAAAGGGTGCATTTAATGGACTATAGCAGCAACCATTGAGCTCTATGGCACAGAGGAATAAGATGCATTCAGTGCTTGTTAGTGGATACATTCAGTGTCGGTTTGAGACAAATATTGAATAACACCAGACTGATTCTTTAACTGGATCCTTCTGTAAAAGATTTTATTCAGTTGCTGCATTTAGCATTTCTACGCAAAAAGATTAGGACCAAAATCCAAAAATAATTCTCATTTTAATCTCATAATTTGAGTCTGCATTCTAACTTTAAAAACATTCTCCAAATGTTATAATAGTACTTAAAGCATCCCTGAATCTCCAGAGCCTGTCTGATAAATCTATCTAGAACTGGTGTTTGTTTTTGTCCATTCTGGGCTACTGTAGAAACACAGCAGTTCTCATGTTCAGGAGACTATACACTACTGAAAACATTTCTTTCAATATATCCTCCTCAATGTTACACACTGTTGTGGCACTAAAATGATATGATATGTATGAGGTCATTTATAAGCAGTGTGTCCACCAGGGAGCGCTGGAGTTTAAAATGTCCCACTCAGCACATATCTTTAATAACCAAATTTCAGTGATTCTTATCAAGAAATATTTACTTTACATTTACATAAAGTGACTCAGGTCATGTATCGGTATCACTTTTGGGAAACCCAATATCAGAATGAGCCTATAAAATCAATGGACATGTTGGAAACAGAATCAGGGTGTGCTACTTTATTTTCAGCTTTCAGAGCTCAGAACTTCTTCCATGCAGTCCTAATAGACTTCCACACATATGGAATGAAACCTCCTTCACCCAAACCACATTTTTAGAGAAAAATGTTTTTAACGTCAGTGCTGTCAATGGCTACCGCAGTGTCTTGTGTATATCTTCTATCTTGTGTGCGTTTAACATTATTGTCTTGCACTGAATGCATATGTGGGCGGGCTCTCTCACTGCTTCTGTCAATATCACACATGGTTTGACTTGAAAAGGAAGATGTAGGGATCTGGATATGATGGGGATATGGAAGGGTACGTTTGGTTTCTAAAATGTGTATACAATATAATTTAATAAATTGCCTTGAATTGGAAACAATGGGAAACCACTGAACGAGACGAATGAGCCTGGATTTGTCCAGTGTTTAAAAGTGGTGGTTGATCAGGCCGTGCTGTAAATGCAAGCTATACACTGTGTTTCCAAGTGAGCAGGAAGGCTGCTGTACAAAACTTCCTTCAGAGTGAGAACTTGCACTTTATCAATTTGCTGCTTTTGGATTTCTTTTATTTCTTTTTAGATAAAGGGTGTTTTCCCCAAATTGTAAACCACAATGTAGTTGTGTTTGGCTTTAGGAAGGGTAAAATACCTGCATGAAGTGGCTGTTGTAGTCGTCCTGTTAAAATGTTCAAATGTGTATGTATGTAAAAAATAAAAAATAAAGGTGACCCAATGCTAAAAAAGTTTACATTTGTGGAACAGTTTCTGACTCCAGACCGGACGTGGGACCAGACATCTAATGTACACAGTCACACACAGTCACACACAGTCACAGCTCACAGACTTTGAGGCGCATTGCCAGTCTGTGAGGGCTTTCAAATCGGCATGTCTATGAGGGCTCTGGCAGACATTTTTAGATTTTCTGCACACTCTCTGTGTGTGCCTGAGGGAATTACCCACAGTTCATAGCATTGTGACATTACCAAGGAAAGCTCTGAAATGTCAAAACTATTATTATTACTATATGCAGATTTAAATTAATTCTTGTGGTTTGAAATTGAATTTAACTTGTATTAACTTGCTTTCAACATGTGAATATTATTTTACTTTAGAGTTCCAAATTCAGTTTGGAATTCAGTTTTCAAATTCAGTTTCAACTGAGATTGAATTTCAGTCTGTGTTTCTACTGTTTCAAATTTCACATACAACAGGGCACAACATCATTACATAAACATACAAACAAGATAACAAACATTTACATACCCCTTACATACCCTCCAAACCCACAACGTTCCATCCATGTATACATTAACATTTACATTATTGCACAGGTATTTATTGTCATTATGACAATCAGTGTGCCTATAGCTGAGATATCTGTGCCCTGCCATTATTACCAAAATACACACTGATATCACCAGCTTCTGTATGTCACTGAAGCACAGTATTTTAAACCAAAGCATGATCTTTTCCTCAACCTAAAAAAGTCATTTTGATGCCTAAACCCAACCAAAGTACGACAGTTTCACCATGAACAACTCTGCAGAGTGTGTCATTACTGAGCAATGGGCCTTTGTTTTCAGAGTAATGGCTGTTGGTCCAATGGGACATTTTCAGACTATTCAAAAATAACATCTGTTAAAAATCCATTCAAACTGATTCATTTGATGGTGTTCATGAAGGGATACTGGATCTCAGGTGAAAACACTGGCCAACACTCTTTTTCATTAAATAATAGTGTGTGTGTGTCTGAATTAATGGGTAATACTAGCTCAATGAGACTCTTGTTGGTATATATTTTGTTTTTTGTTTAAGATATTTTGGGGGGCTTTTTATGCCTTCATTTTGATAGGACAGTTGAAGATGGACAGGAAAGGGGGTAAAGCAAGAAAGGGGTGGATGACATGCAGCAAAGGGCAGAAGGCCAGAGCCTATCCCGGGTTGATGTGGCAAGGACTCAACCTACAGGCTAGCCACTGTGCGCCCTGTTGGTAACTAAGGTCTCTAGATCCTTGCGTTTGTGTCTACTGTAATTACAATCTAATTTCTTTTAATTAGATGAGTTTTTGTTTTTGTTTTGCTTTTTTAGACAGAAGTCAATGAAATCCAGAAAAAGTCAGTCATTACAGAATAATAACAGAATGTGTAGAAATATTTGCTGATTAGATTTGAATCTTCTCATAGACAGAGATGATGTAAGCCAACCTCTCTTGTCTCCTCTTATAACAAAAAACCGCCCTGTGACCTTCCACGCACATTTTTAACACCGCAGCATGGAGCAGCATTTTAAACAGCTCTGGCTAATTACAGAGTTTGGCCAGCAGATGGCAATGTGACATCACTGACCACAGTTCAGTTCATTCACATTCAAGTAGCAAACTAAACATGTCAACATTACAGGGCCTCTTTCCTACAACAGGGCAGCGGTGGAATGGAGCATTTACTCAGGTACAGCTTTATTCTGTTGCTCCACTACATCTCTGAGGAAAATGTTATCCATTATCTAGAAGCACTTTTACTTTGCAGGGGGGCTACAGCCAATCCCAGCTGACATAGGGTGAGAGGGGGGTTCACCGTGTACAGGTCGCTAGTTCATTGAGACAAACAACCATTCACTCTCACATTCACACCTACAGGCAATTTAGAGTCACCAATTAACCAGTTATTTATCTGCATTTTTTACCTTATTTATCTAGTGGTTATTAACTTATTTTTTCTCATTTGTAAGTCCTGATTTTTAGAGCTGAAAGCACTTTTACTTTTATCTTTATCCTTTATTATGTTATATATGCATTGTTGTTTGTTTTTATATTTTCGTCAAAAACCCAAATTTACCTATGGGAACAACCCAAAGTAACCCTTGAACCCTTGAACTGCTACGTTAAGCATTTACTTACTGTAAGTGTATGATTTAATACCCTTATTATGAAATG